CGCCATCCCTGAAGGACTTACAGGTTAATCGACTCAACGGATAGGGGGTGCGCTGGTTAGTATTAATCGCCATCCCTGAAGGACGAAGAGACTTTTTTTATTATTTATGTTTACTTTCTCTACTGGACTCACACACCAACCAGGGATGAACCAAGGCAGCTATGACACTCGCGTAGTTTTCGGTTCTTTCTTACAGTGCTCGCGATATTAAAAACGTAAAACGTACAAGTAAAACGAGGAAAACGAAACAAGCCAGTAACAGTACGACAAGTCGGGTCACCTCGCTGGTTCCTTCTCCTTGCCCCAGCCATTATCTACAAACTTCCCTGTACCAATAAAGCGAAGAAATCATAACATCATTCCCCCCGAAGGTCCTGATTATTTTATTAAAATTTTCTTGCGACGGATTCTGGATTGGCTGAGTCATACCCTGCCTAAGGAAACTCGTTACAATACTACTAAGCTTATTATCTAATATCCTTTTTTTTTAAATTAGAGCCGATAGCCTGTGTTGCTAGTGCTCAATGTCTTTTTTTTTTAGTCTAAGAATTCAATTCATTAGTCTAAAATTAAAATAATAATAATAATAATAATTTCGGCAAATTTCCAATATGCGAAATCGGGTGAAAAGGACGGATTTCATATTCATATCAGTCAAATCACTTAAGAAACTTTAAGTAGTCGCAGAGGTCGCATTCGATCGAAATATGTAGATGTACCCCAATCCAATAAAATTACGTTTGAAAAAGGCAATCTAGTAGTGCGGGCGGCCGCAAGCTTTACGGATAAACTTCATGTGAATCGAAAGCTTGGCATACGTTGCGGTATCCTATCGAATCGGAAGTCCTCGCTAAAGTTACTAAGTGTAGAGATCTTTTGAATGCAAATTGTGCACTTATCGGTGCCGACGAAACTCTAGAAGCTTTTAAAACCGTAGAACCATTTTTGTGGACATTTCGTGGGTACCTTAAAGGGATATACTTACCGGGAATGTATGGAGTTCCGAAATATCGAAATTAGCTACTTATGGCTTTCTGGCTCAATGTATTTCCAGCACTAATTCATCACCCGCGGTATGTGAAGCAATCGGGAACTACCATGGACGATGAGCTTAGACGTAATAAGTGTTGTTCTCAGAAGGAACGAATTAATCTGGCTTATAATAATTGAAAGACTAAATTTCTCGTAAGTGGTAGTGTATTGCTAAAAAGCCATTGACATGAACGAATATCAGAAATATAAATTTTTGCAAAAAATTATCGTAACTTTTTCAATAAGTCCTTAAAAAAAAATTTGCGTTTGATGTGAAACACCTTCCACTATGAAGTAGAAATTTGTTGGAAGAGGCGGAGTAAATCGTAGGCGGCTTAATACCTACCATTGTTAGACAATCCACAGAAAATCTTAGACAAGCTGCACAGATAAGTTGCGATCGCCATAGCGATGCCAGACGAAGGTATTGTTTTGTTCATAACTCTTGGCTTGGTAGTCTATCAAACTAGCTTAAGTGTTTGAGGGGTGTAAGATTTCTTGCCCATGGCCGTTTGCAGCAAATGGTTTTTTACATATTAACTTTAGGGATAATACCGTCGCAGTGGTGTATTATATTATACTCTGCGTGTAGTGTGCCTCAAGTGTAGAATTTCACTTTGGGACACAAAAACCAACTTCTCTAAGGCTTAAAATCCATGTTCTTTTTACTAAACAATCGCAAATGCGCATGAATTCTTCAAACTATTGTATTCTATACATTCCGGCGCTACGCAATATTGATTAGACTCTTGAATACTCTTTTTTTCATTTTGCTTCACACGCTTATTAGATGGTAGCAATTTTTCCATTTTTGGATACAAGCTGGTGTATAGTGACCAAGTGGACACGTCACATGGGCTTTTGCATAACCTACACATCATTGCTAATGAAAACTTGGCGGTAAATTTTCAAAAAATTTGAATTTAATGCAAAATTTAACTGAAAGTTTTTTAGTGTATCTTTAACGTATCGGGTTAAGTCAGCTCATAAAGTTAAGCTTACTGATCAGCAGTTGCTGCAATGGATGGTGCCCATATTATTGGTAATGCTTATTTACTTGGGTACATGGACAATATCCGACACTCCCTTTGCCGAATTTGTAAGTTTTGATAAAATTTTATCTCATTATTTTATTGTCAATCATTAATGTCTTACTCTTCTCCCATTAGATACACGATCAGAATGGTTTAAAATTTAGACAATGTTCTTACAATTGGTGGGATCATAGTTTGGCTATCGGTGAGGTATTTTTTCTGGCCTGGGGCATACGAGTCTGTTATAATGTCCGCAATGCTGAATCGTTATACAATGAAGCCCGCTTAATATCTTATGCAATATATAATATAGCGATTGTTAATATAACAATGGCAATTATACAGTGAGTGAATTTTTTATATCTCTGCTGCGAATATCTTGCGAAAATTAAATATTCTTCACTTTTCAGTCTCTTCATATTTCCGGAAGCTGGACCTGATATTAAATATACTTTAGGTTTTGTACGAACCCAATTGTCGACCACCACTACCATAGCTTTAGTATTTGGGCCAAAAATTTCGCGAGTTTTTAAAGGTCAAGGAGACAAATGGGATCAAAAGGCTAAAGTGCGCAGTATAACAGCCTCATTTTCATTAAATGGCGTTGGCCTAGTGCCCGAAGAATCTCCCGATCTCTATCAAGAAAATGAAGAGTTAAAGGTGAGCTAATGCATATTTGTCACAGAGAAACGCAAAACGGCGATACTTATATGCAAAAAAAAATCTTTCAGGAGCAAATTCAAAAATTGGCTCATCAAATTGAATTCATGAAGACTGTGCATATGCAGATCAATAATAGACATTTAAAACCTAAGCCGGGCGGTTATTTTACAATAACCTCAACTTCTTTCCAAGCACCATTTAGTAAAAGTAACATGTCTTCAACGCAAACACAAACTTCCAAAACTGAGGAAACCCTTAGCGGTTCCGCCTCTAAAGGGTAGGCGATCAATTTATTTATGGTTTTTTCATCATCTCAATGAATAACAATTCTTTTAAAGTTTTCCAAC